AGTTTTTCCAACGCCCTTCGATTCCATGTGGTGGCACCCAATGCTGTAGCAGTACAAAGTTTCCAAGAAGGTACGGGCGACGACATGTGAGGAGGATATTCTTCTCGAGTTGCTCGATGTAACCGCCAGCGCTCACCTTCAGTCCGGGTCCACGAAGAAAATATGGTCTTTCCATTCCAGGTACGTCCGGCCCATACCATCAACCCTTGCCTTGGCGACGTTGTCGGAGCTGCTCGATGTTGGAGGTCTTCCAGATCGAGAGTACTGGTCTCCAGGTAGCTATCCATGGGTGACTCCATACCAGAAGTTTCGCAGCTGTTTGGAGGTGACGTGAATTCCAAAGGTCTTCTCCAGTCAGCTGCGACTGGAGATGACTTCATATTTTGGTGTACATGAAGGTGATGGGCGAGAGCCAGCTCCTGCTTGTAGAGGAACATCTTGGGTATCTTCCGCCCTGGTACTCGTATCCACGTCCTCTGTCTGGGCTGCGAAAACTTTGCTGATATGTGACTCGGTCGAAGTGACTTTTTTTTGCCCCCCCCCCCTTCCTCCTCCATCTGTGCACTTTTGTGGTCCCCGCATGAAACTCTCCAACGTGAGACAGACAGTTTTGAAAGTGGGCATGCTAAAAGGCACCCTTTGTGGTTCACTTGTGTACAACTATTGCAGTTTTTTCTCTGATTCATGTGTGTTATTCCCTAGTAGAGATGATTTACATTCAAATGTCGGGATCTTCTGTTAATTTGATATGGAATATAAGTTTAAAGGTTTGTCATGCGAATCCTGCTGAAAGATCGCGCTTCATACGATGTGTCTACAATCTCCTTCAGTCTTCATCAGCTGCTGTCAGGTTAGAAATTCTCTCAAATAGCTTTTCCTATTTGCTGAACTGGGCACAATGGCTCTTTTTGATGACCGCAATTTTTGATGATTTTCTAGGTATGAGGCCGCCGGTACACTAGTAACTCTCTCAGCTGCTCCTGCTGCTATCAAAGCTGCAGCTACGGCATACATTGACCTTATTGTCAAAGAGAGCGATAACAATGTTAAGGTATCGATACTGTCAAAGGAGTAGGGGGAGAGTGAGGTCACTTCACAATATTTCAGCTGATTGTTCTCGATAGACTGATGGACCTGCGTCAAACGCCGTCGCATGAAAAGGTTCTGCAAGAACTCGTCATGGATATCCTAAGGGTAACTGCTTTTGCTTCCATTTTTAAAATTTTTGTTGATGAGAGGTGTGACCATATGCAAGGATTAGGGGGTTTAGACTGAATAAAGAGCAAAATGTATCTGATATAGTGTCATGAGCTTCCTTTCAGGTGTTGTCATCGCCCGGACTTGACGTTCGGCAGAAGACACTCAATCTGGCTCTCGACCTTGTTTCGAGTAGAAATGTCGAAGACATGGTTATGTTCCTGAAAAAGGTCAGTTTAACCTTCAGTCCTCTCGTAATGCTATATCACACGGTGCACAAATTGCCTATTAGATTCGCAACGTTTGATAAATCGCAGTGTTTTTCGTTGTTTCGGTTGTTTTTCGATAACTCATCTTGCTTTCCTGACGTTTGCATATTTTTCACCCAAATCTTAAACATTTTTGTAGATGACCTTATAATGTAGGATAATGGAGAATCCAGTTATAACTTCACTGATTAATTTGTCACTTTACGTTGACTTTTCTGGTTACTTTTATGAGGGCCTATTTGTGTTCCTCCGAGTAGTAACGTGGATAAACAAACATTGCGTCCAGGGCAGTACGTTAGAGCGCTTCACAATTCGCGATTGCGCTGCTGGACCGATCAACTGGAGCGCGTGATACAGTCGAGCGTTCCGATTGCGATCGCGAAGTATGAACGCTCTTAGGGGATTATAGCTCAAAGACAGTTCCCGAGATACTGGTGTCACGATATGCTTTCATGTTATGAAGCAGTAGGTGAAAGTAATTTCCTAATGAAGAAAAAAGCAAGAAGAGTCTCCAAGAACACCATGAACAAAATCGCTTCCCTGACAGTCACACCGCCCTGCTGCGGACTCTGTGCAACCCCTGGCTCACAAATCGCTTTTTCGCACCTCCCATTAGTAGATATCCAATGTAAAGAAGAATACGAGAAACAACAAAAACACCAACGCAAAACTCTTGACAAATAGAAACTCCAAAAACTTGGCGCACGATTTTAGGTTTACGGTAGCGTGCATCTTTTGGTGCGTCGAGCTTTTGCACCAAGAAAATTGCATCACTCGTGATTTTTACGCCTTTTACCTTGAGAGATGGATTGCAGTTGACTGTATGTGGTCCTATTGAATAAAATATAATAAAGGAGAGCAGATGCCCGCCGCCCCAACAAAGAACAACTGAGCGGTCAGAGGGCATAGTAAGTGGGCGGTCCAACTGAGCGGGCGTTAGAACTAGAACTTTCAGCGGCTGTAGCTCGCTCCTCGCTCGCTGTGGAGTCGCGAGAGTGGGACAGTCTCTAGCTTGGGGCTGAACCACTTGCACAAGGAGGGGCGACCATGAGCTACTTGAGCGCGGAGGCTGTCTTCAAGGGATCGTATTTTTTTGCAGGGAGTGTTTTTGGTTGTTGTCTCTTCTCGGTTTCTTCTGTTTCACGTGTGCTACATATCCCTGCTCCTCCCCGCTGAACATCATTTTTGTAACAATAGGATTTTAAAGAAAAACGCCTGGGAAGAGGTGAGGAAGAGGTTGGACGTGAGGGAGATGTAGGTATTGTGATCGCCCGAGAGAGGGGAGTTTCGAGGAAGGGTCGTATTTGCTGTAATTTTCCCCAGCGTCGGTACGTGCCTTGGTTGTTCTTGAGCTTGAAAACTTTTGCAAATTAAAGAATAATTGTGGAATTTTCATGTACTTGGATGCGTGAAATTTCTGCAGCGGACGTTGGTAACTGGGATCTTTCAGGAGATAGCAAAGTCAACTTCTGCGTCTGCGGAGGAGGCTGGAAGATACCGTCAAGCACTCGTCAAGACCCTCCATGCAGCTACGATCAAGTTCCCCGATGTCGCTGCATCAATAGTTCCAGGTGTGTTCGAGTTATTTGATTGTTTCCACCGGCGTAAAGCTCATCACCGTTCGTCTTAGTTCTTATGGAATTCCTCTCTGATGAGAATGAAATGGCTGCGCAGTATGTTCTGCTGTTTGTGCGTGAAGCTGTACACAAGCTGCCTCATCTCAAAGAGACGATTCTTCATTCGTTGCAAGTATGTTTGTGAAAGGACTGAAATTTGGGTGCTTAATGAGTGCAAATAGTCGTAAAACCTTTTCCATAAACTTGTTGGCTGCATCAGCAAGTTGACGCTCTTGATTTGCTACAATACTAGATATGTTCCAGGAAGGGTTGCCTTCTATTCGTAAGCCGAAGGTGTTCATGGCTGCCTTGTGGATCCTTGGAACGTATTGCGAGTCTGATGCTGCAGTACTGTCAGTACTTCGTCTAATCAAGGCTTCCCTTGGCGAACTGCCACTTGTGGAAACGGAAATGCGTCTTTCAGAGGGAGAGGAACCAACACACGAGGAGACCACAGAGAAAAAGGTTTTTCGAAAAGCGATGAATTTAGTCAGGACAAAGGTTTCATTGTGTTATCTTTAAGAATGTTCCAAAGAGACTGGTCACGGCTGACGGAACCTACGCGGCGCAATCGGCTCTCTCTGTATCGACAAAAACTGTCAACAAGGAAAAGCCTCCTCTCAGGTCTGCCTAATATCCCTTCTAGCAGTAATGGTTGCTCCACGTTCAATTACCAAATTGTTGGATTACAGGCAGTTCCTTCTCGATGGAGATTTCTTCCTCGGTGCCTCCTTGGCCACAGTGTTGAACAAACTTGCTGAACAGTTCACGAAGAACAACGAAGGTGTCCTGCTGCTGTGCTGGTTGTTTCTTTGGGTGTCAATACTTTTTCTTCAGCAAACTCACAGAGATCGAATCGTTTCCGCGGAGAATGCATGTTCATCCTGGCATCAATCATCAATCTAGGGAAAAGTGGTCTCGCAAAGCAGAATATTACTGAAGATGATCTCGATAGGTACGGTGTTGAGAAATTCTATTGAATTTCATATAAAGTTTGCTAGTTTTATATTTCAGGATGGGAACAACGATCAAGTTGCTGGCCCAGGGTTGTTCTGAATTGGAGGATGTATTTGTCGAGAGATGCAAGGATAGTCTAGAGCTGATGTTGTCCAGTCGCCAACAGGACAAGGCAGATGAAATATCAACGAAGAAGAAGAAGAATATTGTCGAGGTAACTATCTCATTCAGGACATTTCTACTTTGCGCCACTGCAGACACTACGATTGTGAATAACATAGAATCCCTTCTGCTTCCCAAAAAGGGATTGGTCTACAGTGAAGACAATCGTTTGGCTTTGGTCCTCTTAGTATCCGTATTGGTAGCGACCGAAGTCAATCGAATCTCACCAACCCCTTTTGCGCTCATTCTCTTATTCTATGTCGCATAGAACTAGCGCAGTTTCACTGCTAACACGTTTTCTGTAAAGTATCAGAGATTTGTTTGCAGGTTGATAAAACCATAATGTTCACACAGCTGAGCGCTCGAGCTGATGCCAGCATTGGAGAAAATCTCTTCGACCTATCCCTTTCTCAAGCCTTGGGAACGGCTCCCAAAACCCAGAGATTCGACTTCTCCAGGTTCGTGAATTCTTTACATGCAAGTCTTATTGTGATTTCAATTGAAGTTTTCGGGAATATCGTGCTATTTTTGACTAATTGTTCCTTTAAGCTCGAAACTTGGCAAAGTTATCCAGTTGGCCGGTTTTTCCGATCCCATCTATGCAGAAGCTTACGTCAATGTCAACCAGTATGATATCGGTGGGTTGTGGAGTATGGCTTTCTCTTCTTTTAGGAAAATGAAATTTAGGTCTTCACTTTCACGCGACTTTATTTAGTTCTCGACGTACTCATTGTTAATCAAACTGCTGACACGCTGCAGAACGTCTCGTTGGAGTTGTCTACGGTTGGCGATCTCAAGCTTGTCGACAAACCCACACCTATCACGTTGGCAGCAGCTGACTTCGCCAACATTAAGGTACAGTTCGTGCGACAAGCACTACATTTAGATGCTGCTGTTGTTTGTGACATAGGCAGCAACCCATATCATTAAAACGCAACAGCCGCCAAGAACGCAAACACCTTGGATTCAAGCACATTTAATCAACAATTACAAATGAAATCAAAGGTGTAATTAAGAGGAAATACTGTAAATGAACTGGACTTCCATACCTCGCTGTAAAGGAACTGGTTTTATTGGTATTCGAGTCTGACCCGAGCAGTTCTGAATACTGAGTGGAGTCAGTTAGGTTTCATACCCGCGTTGTTGTTTTACACGCTATTGCATAAAAGCGTGGAAGCTTCTACTCAAACGAGGAGAGGGAGAAGTAATCATCGGTATAGGGCGCAATCGCTAGTGGTAGTGTGTCACACGCAAGAAACCTTAGGTTCGATTTCGATGTGAGTGTGAGTCACAATTTTCGCCATTCGCAGAAACATGGTCATTGAAGCTTCTAACATCTCTGCGAGCTCGTACCCGCATGTAAAAGGACCTGCGAGCAGCTTTCTCAAAGTGTGGAATCCTTGTGGCTTTAAAAACTACTTGTCCTTGTCATCCCCCCCCCTCTCCTCCCCTAACAGCTCAATAGTTTCGCAGTGAATTAGTCCGATATTCATGTCCAGCGGGTGAAATTCCCTCTAGCAGCGTTCCTACCCAAATGTGATATTTTGACCCAAATACACGTGGGGTATTCTATAGGTGATAGCATTATCCCTCGGTGACCGTTCTGGAAGGTGAAATTTCCTCCCAGTTATCAGTGGTATGAAGAAGATGATGCAACACATGAATCAGGTATTGTTCTTTGTGAAAATGCGTGGCTTAAGGGTCAGTTCATCTCGAAGATCAGCCGCCAGTGATAGGGTCGACCTCGTATCACTGGTAGCCGCTATTCAGCCATGATCCGACCCAACTTTCCGAACTTGATTAGGAATCACAGATGTCACCACTGCGCCGTCTACAGGGATTATTCGACCCCTTGAACACGAACACTGCACCCGTATTGCGCGAAAGTGCTTATGTCACGCGCTCTAGGCGCTGGTGATCCGACGCCAGTGCGCCTTAAAAACATTGAGAGAACCACCATTACACCATACAGAGAAGCTTCAGCAGAAAGAAAAAATGAAGAAGAAAAATTAGAGCTCACCAGGGATGTCCGCCAACCTACCATGGAACTTTGAATGGAGACCTGGGTAGATCGATAGTCTATAAGGTTATTTACAAATATAGATAGCAAAACTGCAACCTGCATTTCACAAGCAACTTATGAGCAGGTAAAGTTTGTAATGGTGCAGTAGGGTGGAGGCTTGGTGGTGAGCTAATAGAAGAGCGTGATAAGGGCATCAAGGCCATGTGATTGTTGCCTGCCTGGGCCTGTTGTCTAGAAATCGTTCAGACGAGGGTGACTGCATGGCGCTCTCACGGAACCAGAGAAGTACGTGAAAAGAATCACTTTTTCCGCCAGGATACGATCTGCTTGCAGATGAAGCTAGCGAGTTTGGAAAGCTCCGTGTAAACTTGTGCAGTCCTTCAAACGAGTCCTCGAATAGCCATATTGTTGGTGTTCCGCACTTTTCTTCTTCGTTTTGAACCATTAACTCAACTAGAGCCTACACATTCGTTGAGCGTGACTTCGGCTCGCAGCCGCGAATGACTCTTTGAATATCGAAGTGTTTTGACGAGAATGCTACTCATTCGAAGCCACAACTTGCCGCATGCCTCTCTGCAAACTTTCTGTCCATAGCGTTAATGTTTCTTGCTCTTTGCCTTCGCTGTGACAATAGGTGAAGTTCTTAGTTGTATGGAATTTTTTAATGCTTGGGCATCCTCTAGGATTGACTGTATATGTTGAAGACGAAGTGTGTCCCTCATTTCCAAGGACGGTCCGTTCTATGTGCGAGGTGGTGTCGGCAGCTGTACTAGCGTGCCACTTTCTCCACTGAAATATACCTGGAAACGGGCTGGAGTGTGGAACCCATGTGCCATCTTCATACTTGGCCCGCCCTATTCTCAATGTGTGGAGCTTGCTCGATACCAAGATCACGTAGCGAAACACTATCACAGTAGAGGAGAAGCAGAAGCAGACAAAAGCGCGTTTGGTATGGTCAGTTTTGTGGCTGGCTGTGCGGCTGCGGGGGCGGAGTATGGAGACGCCAGCATAACTACCCTGGAGGCGCCATTCACTTTCAAAGACTTTTTAGTGGAGAAATTGCGCCAGCATAACTACCCTGGAGGCGCCATTCACTTTCAAGGACTTTTTAGTGGAGAAATTGCCACGTTACTGCTGCTCTCACATAACCAGGACCCGGAGCAGAGGTGAATGTACAGTCGCTCGTTGAAGGCGGGCAAATCAGCCGATTCCGCGTGATTATTTTTGTTATATGTCTTTATTTTGAATGATTTAGGCTACTGTGAAAGTTGCTTCGACGGAAAATGGCGTTATTTTTTCAACAATATCTTATGATGTGCGGGGCTCAACATCCGATAGGAACTGTGTTTACCTTCAAGACATTAAGATTGATATTATGGTGAGTCGTTTCCTAATTATTTTTGATTATTTTCAAATTGTATGACGTTTAAGAACATGCACTTTAGGATTACATCGTCCCTGGCAATGTTACCGATGCTGAGTTTAGGCAGATGTGGTTCGACTTTGAATGGGAAAATAAGGTCCTTTTGGAATGTTTTTTTAACATCTTGCATGTGCTTTCTTGAACATTCTGTAATTGCAGGTGACTGTCAATACACCAATTACCGATTTGCGAGAATTCCTACACTACTTGTCAACTGTCACGAATATGAAGGTATTGACGGGGGATGCTGCAATAGGTTGGTTTTTGGGCACGATAGACGACATTCGGTTTCTATGCAATATTGGGTGTTTCTTATGGTACTGAATTTAGAAGGAGATTGTGGATTCCTTGCTGCTAACCTCTGTGCTCATTCCATCTTTGGCGAAGACGCTTTAGCGAATGTTTCAATAGAAAAGGCTTCTCCACTCGATGAAGGATCTCCGATTGTTGGACACATCCGAATCCGAGCCAAGAGTCAGGGCATGGCTCTTACCTTGGGTGATAAGGTAAGGTGATTACTGGTTTCTCGCTCTTCTAATCATCGGCTTACATTTACTGCAAGCACTGAAACTAGCGGTGAGGTGCAAGAGCACTCACTGTGACCCAAGGCCGCAAAGAGCTACATCAGGTAACGTTCATGTTCAGCGACTTGGGAGGGGGTGCAGAGAACAAGTAAATCGGCTATGCGGTTTCTTAAGAATGCTCGCCGAAGGAGTAGATGGAAACCGTTCGACTGAGGTCGCTCTCACTTCTCCCGCATCGCAAACATCCTAGTCGTTCCCATCTTCTCCTTGGGCGTGCTCTTTCCTAAGACGCCGATTGGCCGAACCTGTTATTCCCCTAGTCGCAAAGATTAAAGGCGCTGTCAATGGTGGCTCTGCTTCTTCAAACCTTGCCGGGCAGCGTACACCGGCGCAAAACAATGTTTCGAGCGTCAGCGACTAGGAAAGCATACATATCGTTGAGACGAACGGCAGTGTCTAACAGCGTTCACCATCTACCAGGAGTAGAGATTATGGGCGAGTAGGAGAGCAGCAGACACCTGATAGAGTACGGGGAAGTAGGAGGGAGGGAGACATCGATCTGACGTCGTGAAATTGTGGCGTGTGCAACCGCACACTACTTGCTACACAATACCGTACTCCTAAACGCTGGTGGACGCTGGTGGTCGCTGGTGGACGCTGGTAGACGCTGCTGCAATACCATTATTGGGGTTCTGAAGGGCTCATCTGAGCCCTCTCCTATCGATGAACTAACGAGAGAAATTTGGCAACAGATCACTGTCATTGGCTGTTTCAGATCAACATTGCGCAACGAGACCGAAGGGCTGTGGCTGTGACGTAATATTATTTGAGATAAATTAATTTATTTATTCTTTGTAGAGTTGTATAAGAAAAGTTGTTGCATATTCAAATCACATGTGATATATTATTCTTCCATCATATTTACTTGTGGTTCTTTGTTCACCAGCTTTGTTGCTGGAATAAAATAAGGGTGCACCGATTGTCCGTTTTATTCAAGTTTTGTATTGTCTTATCTAGAAACATGCAAAATATCCAACCAATTTTGTAGGAATCTCGGTAATAAAGCGCTTATTTTAATCGAATATCGAAGAAGTGGTGTCTTCTGAGAGTGTAATGGATGAGGGTAAATTCATAAGAGGGGGGGGGGCATCGTGTACAAGCTTGAAAGTTAATTCCTAACTGGTTGTCATGAAGCATTGCATGCTTAATCTGTTGAACTCCGGTGCGAATGCCGCGCACGTGTCACCACTTAGGCTACGTTCAAACTTCGCGACGGCAGCGCTTCGTTCGCGCGTTCGATGCGCATGCTTTCGACTGCATCGATCGCGTCGAACGCGCGACCGAAGCGCTGCCGTCGCGAAGTCTGAACGCTGCCTTTAACGCCCCTTTGTCTTTCTCGCCGCGACTCGAATGTATTTAAATTGGAATTGTCCATAATTTCTTATTAGGCGATTGAGGACAGGCTGGTTGAGATATGTGAAGGAGACCTGAAGAAGTTGCAAGGTATGAGACGGAAAATAAGTTTATCGAAATAGCGTCCTTGGGAAAGAAAATTGGAGCTGGTTGCATTGAAGATCTTCGGATAACAACCAAATCGTACATTGCTACAGCCTTGCTCGCTGCAGATGATACTAGGGAGGAGGCGTGTCAGCGAGGAGGGTCAGGTGCGGCATGCACCCGTTTTTTTTCCGGCAGGCGACAAGGGTGTTTCATAATGTTCGTGCCATTCATTTTTACCAGTTGTTGTCTTACCCGTTTCAAAAGGCGGCGCGCTAGACCCAGGCTCACTGACACACCCCATCATCCGCAGCAGTAAGACTGTAAGCGACCAGTACCTGTCCGAAGTGAAAGGTTATGAAGAATGATGATATCGCTGTGAATATGTTTGGTGCCATGTCAAAATCAACTAGAAGCGAGAAAGCATCGAAGATTACCAAAGGTTGAGCATATCATCCTTGGGAAATCCTTAATGAGAGGATCGCATTGATACATGTATGTACACCCATGGCAGAAAATCGGCGACTAAGCTTCAGAACTAAGTAGAAGACGCAAGAGAGCATTCAGATTATTGAAGGTTGAGTAGTTCTTAAGGGAACCTCAATGGGAGGGCCGTATTCAAGTACTGGATAAGGGCCGCATTCAACTTCCTGCTTCAGAGGGTTCTGTATTGGAGCAAAATGACAAGGAAATTCTGGGAAATCGGAGGCAAGGATGCGAGTGAAATTGGAGATTTGGGTAGGTCATATTATGAGTATGTCTTGCTTGAGACAGTGAGAGTTCCAATACCATTCGATCGGAAATCAATTGCGCAGCGTCAATGTTAGGTGTTGTGATGTTGATCATTGAAAGAAAACAGTTACCCCACAGTATTTCTTGAATGGTCAAGCGAACATTCGAGTGAACTAGTCCTCGAACATCATC